TCCTGATAGGTATTTCTAAGAAATGACTGGTTGAGTTTAGTTTTTTAATGTTTAAGTAATTGACTAAATGGAGGCTTGTTTTACTCATCTTTGTATATCCCCAGTGCCTGGAATATAGAGGTAGTTCAGTAAATCTTTGTTGAACTGAACTGAAGTTATAGCCAGCATAGGAAAATCAGCTGACCTGCTAATAGCACCTACAGTTGTAAAAATTGAAGTCTGTCTCAGTAATTGTTGATTTCTTATCTTGAGGTAAATAAAGCCCAAGTAGTAGTCATACTCACCGGGGCCAGTGTATAAGAATATATTGGTTCTTCTAAGCATAAGAAAATTCCCTAGCGTTTTTTGAATTTCATTATTCCTATTGCCAAAAAAATTCTATAGGGGATGTACATTGCAAAAATGATAACTGGATGGTAGAGACAGCCCCAAACTGAACTTGAGTGCATTTGACTAAAGCTGGTAGAAGTTTAGCTATTATCTCAAGGTGGTTCAATTAGCACAGTATGTTTGAGTCAAACAAAAAAAGATCCTTGTCATCACTGCCTTATCAGAAAGCTTCTGTAACAAAATCTGCTAAGGCTGCTCTTAATCTCCCTTTAGTGATTGCCAAATTCTTTTGTTATATCTGCTCAGGAAGCCTCTCTGACTTGCTGATATGGAGGACAGCAGTAAGAACCTACGTCAGGAATGAGCATTGAAGCAGGCACAGCTTGAATTGGCATTGTCTATCAGTCAGGAGAGCTGTTAATGGTAGCCACTCATTTCTAGTCCAGTAAAGTCCAGGAACGTGTAAGAGGGAGGCTGAAAGTTCCCAGTGGAAATAGTCTGAGGTATTTTATGCTTAGTCACAAAGGGTGCCCTTCCTTTCTTGTATGATTTGTGGAACCAGAAAACACTTTGTTTCTTCCCTCTCCCACAGCTTATCTCATTGGGTTCTTAATTCATTCTCTCTGGTAGTGTAGTGCCTAAAGCACTTGACTGCTAACCAGAAGGCTGGTGTTTCAAACCCACCAGCCACTCCTTGGAAGGAGGTTGGGCAATATTCTTCCGTAGGGAAACCCAAGGAGGGCTTGCTATGAGTCAGGTCCAACTCAATGGCACGTAACAACAACAACTACAGAATCACTTTTACCTCCAGCTTTTCTGAGGCCCCCTGCTCCTGTGGGTGAGCATTTTGGGACAGAAGATAGAGAGCTGAGAGCCAGGGAATGGTGGGGAGGGTGACAGCTAAATGTGAAGACAAAGGGGTGAAGAAAGGGAAATTAAGATAGGTGTTATTTCTTTCACAATGTGGCCTAAGCCGAATGGGGAAAAAACTTGGAGGCATTTCTGCTGTTTAGCCTTCATCAGTCAAAAACTAAGAATATTGTGGATATGTCTCCCTGTGGTAGTGGCTGATTTCCCTCATCTTTTTATTCCTCATGTTGAAAAAATAGAAGCCAGCATGATTGACCACAGCTCAGAAGTTTAGCTTCATGGACCCTTGTGGAATGTTTGTTCACATACCTTTTTCCTGCTGCTCCTCTTTGCATGTCCTCTGCACGAGCCAGGTTGGACCATGAGCACGTCCCTGTAATCTTTTCACGTGTTCCTGCTCCTGTGCTTTAACCCAAGCATTAAGTGAATGCATTTTCTGAAATGCTTTTCTGTGTAGTTCCTCCTCGTACTTCCGACCCATTCCTCAAGCTTACTTTGAATGACTGTCTCCACCAACTCTTCTCTAAGGAATTGCTTTTTTGAGCTTCACAGAACTTTATCGCCATCGTCATATCTTCTGTTGTAGGGTGATTACGTGTTTATTTATTTCAGTGTCTCCTTTTCTCTGCTAGACTCTTAGGTTTCTTGATGCTAGATCCCTGCTTGATTCCTATTTGCCTCAAAAGTAGGTGCTAAATAAACATTTGTTCAGTTAATTT